CAGGCACAATTTAGCCCAAGGAATGTCGTGGACGTAGCTCCTTCCAAGCAGACGAAAGAGAGCTTGTTTTCGATATTGATTTGACCGATTACGATGACATTCGCACATGCTGTTCGTAAGTTTATTATGTACTATGTATAATTGCATTACACATGCGCCTGTTGTCATTTTTTGCTTCTAAGAGGAGAATGGTTTTAAGAAGGTCTACATCTCTGTCTGGATGGTTCTGTCAAACCCACGACAGACGCCGTTGGTCCCTGAATTTTTTTTCTCAGGCTCTTTCATGATCTTTTCATTCTTCTTTCGGTGGAATCATCGCACATTCACAATGTTCCACAGACAGTGCTGCTGAAAAGTGTTCGTGGCAGTTTAAAACTGTGGATATTTTGAGACTGTACATCGAGATTGAAAAAATCACAGATTTCAGTATGGGGATCTTTATTCTGTCTGATGGTTCGGTCTTGTCATACCTCAACACTGTGGTAATCGTTGAACTTGCTTCGGAGTTTAGGGCTCTTGAATTCAATAACTTGACAGTGCATTTCTTCGAGTCAGCACTTGCACATTATATTTGTAAATGTAAATATATACTGATGATGTAGTATTTCTTCCTGCATTGGTAATGATGCTGAGCATACACCACAAGAGGGATTTGTTTATACGCAACACACTGCGTGTGGTATTTTTGTTTTTTTAAGATCATCACCTTGAAGCAGAATGTCTCTGGCTTGTCATGTCCGCTATATCCGCAGCTTTACAACACTTTTGCTATAGGGCAGCCGTTACTGCATCGAAGAAGGAAATATTCTTCTTATAGCAGATATGTCTTTACCTTGTTCCTCCATCTTACTTGCTGGCCTCCTAGTCGATGCCTGACGTGTTTCTGGTGATTTAACCAGTACAAAATAGACCAGTCGTACAACAAGCTATCTTTATTGTGAAACGTATGAATAAATCCCTCTAGTGCTGTATTTCCAGCATGACTACGAAGGCATGAACAAAATACTCCACGTTCTGTTTGATCTGCCCATACAGATATTGTATTCTACTACTGATTCGCAATAAAAGTGGTGTATCAGATTATGGGGCTATACTAAATTGACCAGTGATCCGATAGTCTTCCTTTATCTATTGCGTTGTGTATATAAATGAAGCGTTTCTGTGCTGCCTTGCGACATCGTACATCAGTTCCGGTTACCCTCTACACCTGATCCACGCATGTTAACATATCTGCTTGAGCCAAGCTCTGCACGACGTCTGTTGCTGTAACGTTGACGTGAAATCACAAATACTGTTAGTTGAAAGAAAGTTGAAAGTCTGCTGCTTGAAGGGAGTCAGAGCAAACCCAGTTGTTCAGCATTGTCAAGAAAGAATAAATAAATGGCATAAACGGATAATTGCTAAATAAGATGATACATACAGCGACTAGAATAAATGCACAACTTATCACGGAATGGATCATATAGGTGAATCAAAACTGAATCAATACAAGATTATGTTGCATTGAGCATATCCAAGTAGTGCTTGTGAACAGTCTCCGGGTCTCTGAGGGTTCGCTGGTACAGTGAATGTTTTAAAATGTTAGGTGGTATTATTTGGTTATTGTTCATGTATGATGACTCTCGCGTATTTTTTGTTTGTGCTGGAATGATAGTTAGATCATCAGTTCTGAGAGACTTAGTAGGAGGCGGCAATAACAACATAGTATGGTTGATAATCCTCATGGTCAGGAAGAGCTGTTTAGTTGTCCTCACTATTTTATAAAATCACAGAACCCTAAAATATACTGCAGTGTAGAAAAAATGAGTGTTCTAAACCTGATATGCTAAATAACGTATGTATTTTGGATTAAGGTGCTGAGCTTTACGAAAAAGCACTGGAAAGAACACTGAGAAATAGGTCATCATTGCCGGCGACCAGTTTGGCCGTAACTAGACATATTTCTAGCATGACTGGTCCTGTACCCATATATACAAAGACATCCACATAGTCTTCCTAGTACTGGTAGAGCATGGGAATCAAACTAGTTTAGGAATCGTGCGTTAGGTTCATTCAAGTCAGACTATAGTAGAAAGTTCAGACGAAGGATTCCCTTCTGCTAGGTGTCCATCAAGGGCGGTATTATGCCCATCTTTGTGTCAGATGGTGATTTCGGTGATATATTGTGCGGTTGATTTCGTTTCTTGTTTTCGCAGTCCTTACTCCGGTTAACAACGAAATTATTATATCATGCCTTCACCAACTATCACCTGGAAAATTTTGAAGCTAATCGCACAGGTAACAATGTAACCTTCCTTTTGGATGGAGTGGTGTATAACGGCGGTTTGATTTGACAAGAGCGTGCGATTATTCTAGTAGTAATGTTTTATTATGTCTCATATACCTCTATCCATTGAATTCATTAATTAAGCAGTTCCATGGCCACCATTAAATACTAGAATCATTCAATCAACATCAAGTTAATCCTTTATATCAGGGGGTTTATGTCTTCAGAGAGCCAGACTTGCCGTCTAAAACTGTTACGGTTTAGAATCATGTCAACTCGCCTTTCTTTTTTTCTGAAGCAAGTATAGGAGTACCATCTCGTGGGAAGGAAACAGGATACTACACACTGCACTTGTCCTATGTTTATGGGCAACTTTTTTTCCATGTTCTATCTAATTTGCTTAGATCCATTGTTCACGGAATCGAAGTTGCACAAACGGTAGTGGTTATGGTAAGGTTTAAAGTCAACACGCAGAAATAATGTATTTTCCTCGTTTATTCTCTTATGATAGAATATTCATAAGTAGTAGACAGAGATGTCTCTATATGTGCCTATGGATAGCGGCAAATTTTACTGGTGCCCCGACATTGCCTTATTGAGCCAAATGCATAGATGCGGTCTTGCTTCCGATGCGCTATAGATTCTTAAATACCATAGAGCTGAACTGTTTCTTTGGCCGACTAGAGCAAGGTGGCGGGATCTTTTTCGGCGTGTAATTCCTTTAGCAGTAATTGAAATGTGTTAATGAGTGAATTCTTAAACTCATTTCAGTACCGTATCGCGTGGGAACTGAATGCACATCCTTTTCTGATTCCGTGTACGAAAGGCAAGAAAACATTATTTTACGTGATCTCATAGAAACCGAATTTGCATATTATTGAGCTTATGGAATTTTTATTCCCTCAAATTCACCGATGCAAATTCGGCTTGTGTGTCGGGTCTTGTTAAATAAATTGTTTCATTTAATTGTCTCATTTGTTTCTTTTCTCATTCTGGTTGATAACCATCGGGTCAAAAGCGTATCCACGCATCCACGTATCCGGAATACTCATAATTTGCCGTTTTCGATTCGTGATCTTTAGAATTTTTTAAACTAAGGGTGTTGTCTACGTTGCAGCCATTGACTACGACGGTAGAAATGTTTTAGACAAGGGAAAGTGTGCAGAAAATGTTGGAAGCTAATGAACATTGCCATGGAAGTCCTTGACAGGGCTCTCGAAGGTAGGTCACCTTTTTGTTAGCCGCGCACGCTTTACACATGTGAGTTTCAGAAGACTTTGGCTTTCAAGAGCGACTCTGGGTATTTTCTGGCCGTCGAGGCGTTCACTGCTGGGTGACGGATCGAAACGCACGACGACTGAACGAAGCTGGCCGCTCGGCAATAGCCGACTACCTGACCGTTGTTTCGGTTTGTCTTGTCGTTTTGTGCAGCAGTGGTCCATACTGAGTCCGATTGTCGATTTTTTCTAGGGTGGTGAGAATCAGACGAAAAAAGTTGCTTCTCTGAATCGCTTTCTTCATCCGTCTGTCAAAAGGGCCATCGACATTATTCGACCTCACTTCTGTGACCTTCTTAAAGAACAGGGTTGGCTGGACTCTGCTGATCAGTGGGCAAAGGTGCTTGACTTGATTTCAGACGAAGATACGTGTACACTTTTTTTGCTGCCATTTACTGATTGTATGATTTGCTTTTAAGACTTAGGAACTCGGTCGCTAAGGATTTCGAGCACTTCTCGAGTCCGGAAATCAGGTGGAGAGCTATGGAACTAAAGGAGACAAAAATGAAGGTGATTGAATCAGTTTTTATTTGTAAAATTTTCACATTACTGTTAGTAGTAGCTATCGCAGTTCACATGATTTGATCAGAAGTGGAAAGATTGGCAAGACGAATTCTCTTATGGAAAATGATCAACGAGAACACAAAGGGTCAAATGCTTATGAAATATTGCCTACCTGAAACGGGTATGCGAGTACTTACCTGACTGGCAAGGAGATGGGACCACTAGAAAAGCTGTTAAAGATTTTGCTCCAGCAAACTAGACGAAACAACTGACGACTTCGAAAATGGATTAAGTTGCAGATACGCGGATGCATGGATATATAGTTATATAGAAGTGAACTGGGTGCCATTCTTTGCTGTCTCCTGTCTTGATTGCCAACGAGATGCCACATCAGAACAGTATTCTATAAAAATTGGGCGGTTCTTGAAATCCTTATGCGCTGATACTTCCACATTAAAGCTGACGTCATTGCCATCTTCAGAGGTTAGGGAGCACAGTGAAGCGAAAAGATCTTACTTGTCTTTCGTTTTTGGCCAAATATGGATGTGATCTCCAATCATTTCTATCGTTTCTACCAAATTAATGGTAATGGTATCCTTGTGGTAAGTAGATCTGCTTTAAAGGCTTAAGGATGGTTCTTAACTGTCGGTGGTCAACGCCTCTGTAATTGAGGAGAATAAATTTGCTGTACTTCATCCTCTCATGCATTCCCTTTCTGTGGTCGTTTGTGACTCACTGCAACTTGCAGCTTGGAGCTAGATCTATAAACAGCACAACTTTATCAAATAATATAAAGTTACTGCTATAGCAGATAAAAGTAGCTTTCACTTTTCAGTGACTATAAGGGATATAATGTCCACATGTTCTTGTACTTGAAGGAACATTGTTAGGTTGTTCAGATTATTATTTGTGCATATGGTGCAGCGTCGAACTGATCAGTGTATCTCTGTGCGACTGAATCAGGCAGAGACTCATCCATTGCCTGAAGATTTCTGTCCTTGTGAACGTGCAGTTAAAAGTTGAAGGTGCCACTCTCAGATGTGAATGACATTTTTAATTAAGGATCATTCTAGAGTGAATCAGATCATCAAGAATGCCAATAAAAATTAGAATTCTCATTGTCAGTAAGAGATTTTTAATAGTTAAGATGAGATTTTTGTTTTGGACGACTTTAGTTTCCCGCTCTACTCGCCACTGTTCCTCGAGACTCAATTGTGGCCTCGTCGCTTATTCTCATGATGGATGGCGTGATTTCAGCCATCGCGACAGTTGCTATTATAGGACACGACGGATAGAGAGATGACGATTTCTGTAAATGGCCCGGAAAGTATGGGATACCTGCTAACCCATATGAACGTGAGAGGTTCAGTGTACGCCAGAATCGGTAACCACTGCGTGTGTGTTCCCATTATTCTTCGCATTGCTTCATTCAGATGCGTCTTTACGTTCCTCGTGTGGCAGCTGTAGCTTCAAACAGGGGAGCAGTTCTCTGCAATAGAGTATACAAGCGCCAGGGCCGTAATATGCAGCACTCGGGCACCTCTACCAGAAGAGATGCCGGCAAGTTTTTCTAACAGATTTATCCTCACTCTCATCTTCTTTTGTCCTTTTAAAGTGGAACTTAGACGTGAGGGTCAATTACGAGTGACATTTAGACATTTCGGCATTGCCTTCGAATATGTCAGGATGCGAGCTCCTTGACTTTCAGATGCTTTCCTGAACTCAGACGCCATCAGATGATTGAGTCATATCAAGTCATGTGATTGTTCAGTTGCATTCGCAGTGAGTACAGCAAAAGCTTTTCGCGCCTAACTGATCTGAACAGACTAGTATCACAACTAGCTTGTTCTAGCAATGATGAATGGATATTTTTGGGCGCAAAACAAAGCGTTTCTCGAAACATTCACTGACTCTTAGTATTAGAACTAGTTTGATTGACCCTACGGTTCCATGTAATTAACACCATTTGGTTGTGTCCATTCCTGAGTATCTCAGTAGGATTAAATCCTGTTTTTATCTTTTGCCGTTGATGTGGCTGTTTCTGAATAGTCAGGCACAGAAATTGATTTGTCGATCTTTCATGCGAATGCAAAATAAACTAGCGAAAAGTCTGACTTATAATATACTCATAGATTGGTAAGTAATTCATTTCAATTAGTTCTGGACTGCTTGTACTAAATCGTGTTTAAATGACAATTATTTATGTTAAACTTTTGCATTCTTTTGTTTTTCGTATATCTGTTGTGCTCTTAGTTACCAGAACGCTGCAAGTATTTTGCCGATGAGATTATGTTGCAGTTAGCCTACCCTCGTTTGGACATAAACGTTACGAAAGGAGTGAACCATCTCCTGAAAAGCCCTTTTTGCGTTCATCCAAAAACTGGTAACCCAGTAATCGCATTTTATTTATAGACTGCATAAGGGCGTAAATTTTAGGTTGTGTCTCGGTGCCCATTGACTACGCTTCCCGCGGAGATTTTGACGTGGAAAATGTTCCAAGAATAGAGTAAATATTTCTTGATTAATTGGTCTAAACTGATTGCCCGTGAAAGGAAACCGGGTAGTGTCTGAAAGGACGCACAAATCAGTCAAGCAAAAGTGCACCGTAGAACTCCTTTATGACCAGAACTTACGGCCTGTTGCATCAGCCCCTGCTCATCGTTATCTACGGGGCCATTTAGGCAGGCGACGGTTCATTATATGTAGGCACCTGCAGTGCCAGATGCATCTAGCATCATTTCGTTAACCTTCCTCCTTTTTCATCCAGATTGGGCCGGATATTATCCATTAGTATTTAATTATGCTTTCTTGCTTCCTTGTTTTTTTAACTTAACTTATAAATAGCAACTTCTAACTTTAAGTGCATGGCGCCTAATTTGTCTGTTGCTGTTTCAGCGTCCTCTGTGAAGAACTGAGTACCGTTTCTCTGAACGCTGAAAAGGAAGAAATCGTTGCATCTGCCGTTCCAAATTCGTTCCGCAAACGAAAAACCTTAGGTATTGTGATCGTCATCATAATGATTATTTAGGTTGTAATCATAATCAGATATTCACGGAATCATTATGTCATAATCATTATGACAGTATCGTTATTAAGTGACGTTTCCCATATCACTGTTTCGCCTTCATCTTTTTTTCGTTCTTCGTAACGTTGTACAAATCCATGTAGTTTTTTATAATACAGGGCCAGTTCATCTTTTTCCTTTTCCGTGGTGTTAAGGATTCTCCTCAGCATCTGAATCAAAATGTTTACGTAGTCCCTTGGACTTCGTGTCAAGTGGCCGAAAGAGCAATGCTTTCTTTCGTTCAAATTTTGCATTATTGTCACACATGAAATTTACCCTTATTCAGAAGTTTCGGTCAGATCCCTCTTGTTGACACCACACAACCATCAGAGGATTTACACATAATGAAATTTTATTATGCACATACAGATAGGATAATATATAGGTACCGACCAGCAGGCCATCATGCAATGTTGAGGAACATGGTAATGACAAGTCTGTTTTCAGAGCGGAGTTTTTCCTTATGCGATGCAGTAACGAGCGTCGTATAGCAAAAGTGTTGAAAAGCTGCAAATTCAGCGTACATCGCAATTCAGAAACGTTTGGCTTATGCATTCGGCTAAAGGTTATGGTCTCAACAAGGATATGCGCAACACATAACTAAGCGATTTGCAGTTAAGCGGAAGATTTCACAAGTAAAATTTCGTTTCTTGCTGAAAACATAAGGTGATTGGTATTTCGGCTTTGATGGTCATAAGCCGTATTTTCAGGTTACTATCTCTCATTCTTGAGATCATTACTCATGATGATTCAATGCTAATATTCTTTTCATGCATACCCCCAGCCATTTTGCGTTATTACGTTTTGTTTTATTTCTTTTAGGCTAACGCCAAATGTATTTTAATTATCTTACGTGTTTTCAGAAACATAATTATTTATTTGTCGAAGTGTATGCTCATTCGTTCATGAACGCCATCGTTCATTCATCGAAGAAACCGTTTGTGCATTTATTTTGTTTCCTTGCATCTTGCAGGTGTTTGTTTGAATATAATGCACTGCCATGGCATTTTGTGAGGAGCATGGCCTAACTTTACTTTTCTAGATTATAAACGGACTTCGTTGAACAAATATGTGGAGGTGTTCGAGCGTTTCGTCCGTAATGTTGCAAAGAATAGCGAATAGCCTGTCTTATCTTGTTGTTACGTTTTTAACACATTTCTGTAAGTGAAGAACATTTGACGAATAACGTTAATTTATCGACAAACATTTTCTGGCATGTTTAGGAATGTGATAATGATGGTTGTTTTGTGTTTATCAATCTACTTTTTTATCACTGTACAGATCGATTCTGCGCTCAGATTTGTTACGGCAGACTACCAGAATAAACCCCAACATATTGACCGCGTTAAAAACGTATAACAATGACCAATGTATGGGATCGCATTATAAACGAAATATTGTTCTATAGTTCATCTTTATGATGAATGTACTGTAAAACGAAAGGAAAGTTTCAAATGTTTCGGCATTGATATCCGCGAGACGCTGGCCTTATGTGTCTCGACATCGGCGACAGCCTTGATGTGTAGCCACTGTTTCTTCAGATTGAGAAGTTACAGCGGCAATGGTTTGAGCACGTGTTGCAAAAGCCTCCAGAAAGGAAGGCGTAGCAGCTATTTCTTGCCCAACTAATCGATCGAAGGCCCAAAGACGGCTAATGTTGACCTGGTGCAAATATATAAAAAAGTTTGCAGTAGACGTCACTTGCCTTCTACCGAAGCTCAGACTGACAGAGTTTCGAGAACTTTGGAAGAACTGTCTGACGAGTCTGCCTCCGCTACCCGAAAGGAAAAACAGTTATGGAAAATGAATGATTGAATCGGCATCGATTACAATTGCGTGATTAACACCATTTTTGGCGCCGCATCTGGTTTACACAAATTCTGCCGGAGTGATCGGCAGTACATGCCGTTACACTATATTCTTACTTCTAGACGACTGGGAGGACCGGTTTACGGTTCCATGGCATCATAGCACCAGCAATATATGGATGCAACATAACATCACCAATTAGTGTAGGAATCAGACACGTAACGGGAACAATTTGCGGCATCCTTCTTACAACTTATGATGCGGCTGTGATATTTGTTTCTAGTTTTATTTTAACAGAAATGTTCATAAGTGTTCGTTAGCAAGGAATGTAGGTTCTTGTTTCCCTTACCGAAAAAAGTTACTGATTTATTTACGTCAGATAAGTTCAAGGCAATTGACAACTGGATCTTGAACTCTTGATTTTTCGACAATGAGTCAGACACTGCAGATTAAGCAACGGCATCCACGCTGTTTGCTAAATGTAGCAGTGTGCTTTAATTTTGCAATGGATGGCAAATCAAAATTTGCTGAAGTATTAACATGTGACGGTTAGGTAGATACCTGACATAAACAAAAAAGAATTTACGTAACCCCTTTTTCGATCATGTAAACCGCCCTTTACGTCTTCGGGACATCACAATCATTTTTTATGTTACATTTACATGGCTTTAGAGTTTCAATGATCAAGGAGCTGAGTATAGTAGCTTAATTAATGGTTTACTAGTTTCATTTTTCCTATTTTGTAAATTTTTTTATTTAACTTTGTTAAATATTTG